GAAACATTTTTTCAATGCTTGTCAGCAGTGGTCTCAAACAGCTCAAACACTCTGGGGAGAGCTACTGTAGGTGCATTAAAGACATCCAAAAGGTAATACTACCCTCATGTGACCAAAACAGGGCATTACCATGAGAAACGAGAGAGGTATTATGACTTTAATTCCACCCATTATCATTGAATTAATTGCCCTAATTATTTAAATAAATAGGCCTAGTTGAACCATAAATAAATTGGTTAATTAAGAACAAAAACAAGACATTTGTTTTGAAGTCTGATTTATAACAGTAGTGATTAAATTATAATTTTACTTATTAATTCTCTTCAAAGGTAGAAAGGTCATTCTTGTTTTAATCATACACAATAATTCTGGCTGTAGTCAGACATTGCCATATAATTATTAAATGTAGCACAACATAAAAAACTTCTAAAGTAACATATAGTACTGTACTGTATGTCAGAAGGTTCAGAAGCAAAAAAGACTATTTATAGCACAGTAGATAGGCCATTAAGCTCCTTTGTTCTGTCTTTGATGAGTTTAATCACTTTTCCTCTTGTACCCCACACATCCACCAAAGAAGAAGGTAATGACAGGATTCCCAGCCATAGCTTTATTAAAGTTCGAACGACCGCCTATTGTAAAAAGGCCAAACTTCGACAAGTACAAAACAGTTTCCATGTGTATTTTTATGTCTTGTGCTGCCTTTACAAAAGAACAATATTGCAGTTCGCAACACTGAACAATGAATATGCAAATATTTCTGTCCCAAGAGTTGCAACCAGGTGTTACGCCTGCTGTGTCCGGACTGCTAATGGGTGAGTGTCTGTATAGAACTTTCAAAATGGCATTCATTGAGACAATGCAGTGTGATGACATCAGTCCTGTAGGCCTCATTGATTATAATATGTTTGGTATCCTATGCTATGAGATGTATAACACATTTAAGAACTCATGATATAATTGTGGAAATTACAATTTCTTACCATTAGATCCTAGTTTCATTGAAAGCTTATAATTATTAATAATTAAGAATCAGTGTACAGTATGTGAAATAAAAAGTGATCCCCTAGTTTATTTAGCACAAGTAAGGGAAACACATCATGCCACAATTTCAGAGAACCTCAGAAAAAGAGTAGTTGATGCCCATCAGACTGGAGAAACTTACAAAACTATTTCTAAACATCTGGGGTTCCATCCATCCACTGTCAGACAGTCTACAAATGGAAGATATTCAAGACCAAAGTGAGTCTGTCCAGAACTAGTCATCCTGCCAAGATCTCCCCCAAGAGCAAAAAGGAAAATCATCAAGGATTGAGAACCCCAAGAACCCAGAGTAACATGTAAGGATCTGCAGGCCTCTCTTGATGTGACTGATGTCAGGTGTTTTACCTAAGCCATTGGGAAAAGACTAAACATTATCTTTTTTCATGAGATTATAGCCAGGAAGAAACTATTGATGTCTAAAAAGAATGTTGCTGCCCCACTTAAGTTTTCAAAGAGCACCTGTATGATAAGATAAGATAGATAAAATCACTTTATTGGCCATATACAATTTCTTGTATTAGGAATTTGTCTTTTCGCATACCCCAACATGCTCTCCATGAGACACACAGACAAGGAGAGAAGGTTGGGGTCAGAGCACAGAGTCAGCCATTTATATGGTGCCCCTGGAGCAGTTGGGGTTAAGGGCCTTGCTCAGGGTTCCAACAGAGTATGATTCCTCTGCCAGCCGCAGGATACGAACCAGCAACCTTCCAGCCACAGAGCCACCGCACCACCACAAGCTTCAAGCATACTGGTTCTCTGGATAGATGAGTCAGAAGTGAACTTTTTGGCCACAATAAGAAACACTTTACTGTATGTGGTGAAAACCAAACAGTGCCTCCCAACAAAAAAATGCCCTAGTAGTAATTCTGGCAAAACTTTTGTAACCTTGTGAAACTCATACAAAACCATTTGTCTCCCAAAATGAAAGCTAAACATTGATGAAAACTGACATTCCAAAAAGGATACAAAGAAGAAGGTGAACCCATTGAGGCTTAAACTATTACTATTGCTAGTATTGCTGAACATAAAAACAATATCTGAGCATTTACAGCTTGTAAACCAGGTTTGAGTGAATCTATTCAGGATTGACTAGTATGTGGATTTTTGTTTATGAATAGGAGCAGACTCCTTATTCAAATGCAATGGAACAATATACAGTGTATGCTAGACTTGGATGTTGTTAAGAAACAGGGACCAGTGCTTTCGGATCATGACTGAAAAAGTTTCAGCTGGACGGTAAACTTGTTATTCTTGAAACTTACTCATAATGTATTGGAATTGCCATGTAACAATGTAATTTCATCTGTGGTAAATTGTTCTACTGTAGCTTACAGATGTTTCTTATTTGTAATTTACATGCCAGTGACACTGTGTTGGGGAGTGCAAACTTCATCTTGTTTATTTTCAGGGATATTTTAAGTTCTAATGCATCAAGTAAAAGAAACAACAGCAATCACAACTTAAAGAGTAAATAGCCAGCACTTTCTCTCTTGCCTCAGTGATTATCATATGCACTGTAATAAAAGGGGTTATAAAACTATCAGTGAGCCTGTAAAGTAATCTCCAGCCTTTTATGCTCCACACTGCCAACACAGAACCTGTAGTGTTTGCTACAACATAAACAAGACCATGCAGTGTATACTTGGACAGGCGGCAGGGAGAGGCTCACTCACTAGCTAAATTAATCTCAAGATCCTATTCTGTTGCACTGCAAATTTAAAGGTTGCAGTTAACAACCCTTAAATTCATCCCACTTTGCTTATTGTCCACACAAGATCCCGTCGGCCAGACCAAATCATGAACAACCAAATTCGCTAATGTTACATTTGTAGATGTCAAAAACCTTCTGTACATTATTTCACTTCTTAGACTCAACTACTGTTGTTTATATAAAGGAAAAACATTATTGCCAAAGCCATCTGATTACATTACTGATTTGTAACAGACTACTTCTAGGGATATAGATTAGTACAGGATTATGATACAGATTTACAAAAAAAAGAAGAAATCAGTATTTTGTAACAGAAGGCTATTTTATAATAAATTTCTTGTTTCTGTGCTCAATTCTAATTTAACTTATGATTGTAGGATCTTTCTTAAATCATATTTTTAGCTCTTGATTTACAAATGCTAGACTAGACCCACTCTAGAGCAAAGAATGTTCAAAAACATCCTATGTAAGCAATAATTTTACCCATCTTGGATTAAGTGTTTATTGTTAGAAATATAATTGCATTTATATGTAATGTACCATTATGAATTCAATGAAAAACGTTCTACACTGCAATAAGTAGTGAGGTCTAACTACTGTACATGTTATAATAAATTAAGCCTGGGGTTCAACAGCAAGGGAGGTTAATGGCAGGGTTTATAGAGTAAGCCAGTGAATGTCTTACTGACTGTTAATAGTATCTTATTATCCCTAATCTTATCCCTGAATTCACACTCAAATATTTATCTGCCTCACAAAGCTTATACATTTGTTCAGCACAACATTTTAAAGGGAAAATTGGTCAAATGAGTAAGATAAAGCCTTGTTACCAAGAAATTCATACAATCCAGGCTCAACCACTGACTTGTTGTATATTACCAAAAGGCACAGACACAGTACTCTAGATGAGACAAATTAGACTCTACTCAAAATGACTGCAGTTTTTGTTTTCAGTGTATAATATCTGCTGGTCACATAGGGTTAAATAAAATTGATAATTACCATGTAAAAATACCAATAAAACACTTAAAATAAGTATTCAAATATAATAATTAAATAAAATAATTCCTTACACTTATATAAGGAATTATATTCTGGACACTACACTCACATCTATTTTTTTTAAATGATACAGAGAAACACAACAAAAAGTATAGTAACAGAATAAACATTTATTGCAGTTTGTAAAACCGCACTGAAATATTTTCTTTGTTTGAGAGATGTTTCCATTTTTTTAAGAAACACATACAAAAAGCCAGAAAAATATTTCAATTATTAAAAAAATGAAATTACTATTAAAAAATGTTATTGAACATAACACCTTGCATTTATTCACAAAATATCTCTATATAAGGTCATGCCCAACTTCAGAAAAACTAAAAATGAAAGCAGGCCATGTGCCCTGACTGGCATACTGTATTACTTCAATTACTTTAATGCTTTTATAGATATATTTAGTCAATCACATTTAACATGTAATGTAAATGTAATGAGGGAATGGTATGGTTTTGAATTTTTTTACAATAGCATATTAGTCATTGATAGCAGATGCTCTTACAGCCTATGTCTGGACATTACAGTGTATGAGGGAGACTACAGCAGCACAATAAAACAAAAGCCACATCTCCAGCCAAACTCCAATCTGAAAAAGTGGTGTTGTTCATATTTCTTATATTTTTTCAGCTATTTTAATAAAAATCACTCATAAATTACAAAAAATCATTCTGATTCTTTCAAAAAAGATTTTGTGGGATTTCCTTTCTCATTTTAATTCTCATTTTAAAATACAGTTTTACCATTTTATTAAATAGTAATTACAGCATCTAACATCAGAATATTTTTAACTTCATTTAATTATTATTCTTTTTGCAGATGAACCCATATGAACACAGTATTTCACATACAAACATTTGTATGTTCCACAATCAAGTCTTCCACAAGAAGAAATCTTGGGTAGCTTATTTAAAAAAAAATAAATCTTAGTTTATTAAAAGTTTTTTTTTTTTTGTTGCCTTGAAATAGTGGCAGAAAGTTCTGGAAGACAACCCACTATCTCATGACAGAGTTTTCTGGTGGCAAAAGACCAGAATCACTAATGTGGCACTGAATGTACTTCTCCAGTATACATAGATTAAAAACTTCAGGTAGTACAGCACAGAAATATTTATGACAACCTTAATAAAAAAGGCTGTAGAATGAGATCACTTAGTGTGCACCACAATCAAACACAAAGACTTCGAGCTCTGCTTAGAGCGGTTTATTAATAGTACAAAATCCTCCAGATGGGGCAAGGAAGTCACTTTGAGGTTACAAGAATCACTTAAATAAGTAATTTAATCCTCATATTTTGGCACATACATACGCAAATGTATATCTGTGTAACTGCTGTCCTATAACGAGGTAAAAAAGGGCAAGGGGTAAATTTGAGTTACTTTTACCTGAGTGAAAACATTTCTCTTTGTCAAACTTTTAGAAAGTACTGAAGAACACATTAGGTGGCTTATTATATAAGAATTAATGGTTTATTTATAAAAAATAAATACATGGTGAAAAACTAGACCACTATACCATAAAAGTAGTGATTTGGTATATTAGAGATTGAACTTTGAGATACACCCCTTTGGTTCCTATGCTGGTTTATGACTACAGCAATGATTGGTTTCCTATCTGAATAAACTTGTAAATCGTGCTTTCATCATAGTTACTGTAGTTCTGGGATGTAACAGGAAATTGGTGTCCTGTTTTGGAATATTAGGAAAAGAGGAGATGGATTCTATATCTCAGATATCCCCGGCTGTATCAGAAAGCCAGGGCCCTGGTCACTCAATGGAAGGGGGTTCTTCTCCACAGTTCCATATGACTTCTGTTCTTTAGGGTCCAAGGCACTGGATTCCTGGGTTGTCTGGAGAACTTTGGGACGGTAGATCTATGAACAAAATAGGAAAAAAAACAACGTCTTCCTTTTGGGTTTCACAAGAACAAAATTCAAATTTTCATTCACAATCTAAATGACCATTAAAGCAAAATACACAAATAATGTTTATAAATCATCACTGTCAACTTAAAAATAAGGTTTTCTTTAAGGGTTTTGGAATTAACCTGGAATAACTGTTAAAAGGATTAAAAAAAATCATTTCTAAGCCACCCATTATCAAACTTACTAACATTTTAATTGGAATTTAAAAAAGAAGTGAAGAAATCAATGATTAAATCCACTAAAGATAATAAGAAAACATTTAAGACAAAGGCTGAATGTAGAAGCAAACGAACTATGGTCATTTTACCATTTTTCACAGATTATGTATAGTCTTCCTTGTAGGTTGCTATGTATGCAACTTGTCATTTGATTAATTTATATTTATATAATATATGATAGTAAAACCATATCAAAACCATAAACTGTAAAGGACTGAAAATGGCCCCTGCTATAATGTATAAAAAACTTTAGGGTCATAACCTACATAATGCATATTAACATATAACTACGTACAGATCTTCAAATTATTAAATTAACCCAGACAAGGCATGTTCAACAACTGTGGCAATGCACTCAGTACAGTAAAGATATGTAATATTATAAAGGTATATCAATCAAATCACATTTTAATTGTATTATAGTTAGGAACTCATTTCAGCTATGTAAATATGAACTTTTTGAGCAGAGCACTCTCAGCTGTTATGTACCAGAGCTGCAGTTCCTGAAAAAAGCCACAAGAGGCCAACCAAGTTGCAAATCTGTCTTGGCAGAATCTGGAGTGTCTCAGTGTCATTTAAAAAACACAGGGTGATAAAAGAGTTATCTACTTGATCAAAAAGAGGTTTAACTATAACTTTTCATTTTACACTCTTTATTTAAAGCTTAATAGTTGACTTATTAATCTGGCGTGTAAAGAACCTCAGGCAAACTGTAAAGTTCAAATTGCTAAATATGGAAAGGGTTTGTGTGTAATCATTTATTAGCTCAAGTGGCTCAAGCAGTGAGATGGGAATGTTAACGTGCAACCATTACATACATAGATGTACAGGAAGTTTGGAAGAGAAAGAGAAGTTTGGGAAGTCTGAAACTGACAATATGAGACAAAGTTTGAGAGAAATGTACTGGGTATTTAAACACGTGGAGCCAGAGAAGAAATGAACTGTATATATCTTCTTTTTGTTTAATTTTCTGTATTTTCTTGTTGTGTGTTCAGACCAGAGAACAACTGCCTGGAATAATAGGGTGACTAGCTTGACCAGAGCTCAAGACAGCTAGGTTTTGTTTTCGTTTACTAAAACTTTTGTCATTATGTGTGTAACAACTAAATGTTTATATAGTATAATAACTGTATGTATTAATTATATATTAACTATAAACACTCGGAGCCAACCTGGCTCTTTGGGCATCAAATGAGTTACATTTTTTGGTGGGAAACACTTAAAACGTTTTAGAAAATGTTTAAATGAAAAAGTACAATATTGCCTAAAACAGAACAAAATGACCCAATAATTAGTTTTAACCCCCCCATGGAATCTTCAACTAATCACAGAAATACAACAAAAACTGACCATATCTTACATTATACAGGGAACGAAAATGGAATGTAGCACTTACAGGTTTACCAGAATGTTCCTTGACAACATATGTTTCATCTTCCTTTATCTGTGAGCACAGAACACAAACACATGGGAGTCAATTCTAACCTTCCAAACCACACACAGTGTTAAAAGAAAACAAGAGTTAAGAGAAAATGAAAAAAAAATTATAAAACTCAGTATTACCACATTAAAATGTAAACACATTATAGTGAGGAAATGGTTAGAACATGAAAACATAAAGCTGCCATTTCAAATATAATGGAAAGTTTCGGTGCAAAGCATGACTGAAACATATCATTAACCTATCTCTGTTAAAATAATACGCTATGTAATGGAAGTGAGAACAGTTGAAATTCAAGTCACTGTTTCAAAATATATGTGCTGGAAAATTTACACTGTATGGAAACCTAAAAAAAAAATCAAGAGAAACTATGCAGTTTCTTGGCTCAATAGTATGAATGATTCCAAATGGGACTCCTCAAGTTAAAAAGTCCTGTTCTAAAGACAATTAGATTGGATTATGTCACCATCTGGCTGTGATCAGGACATCCCAAACAGCAGCGGAATTTGGTAATGCCAGTAAGGGACGTGCTACTTTTCCACCTTGCACTGAACCTCCTGCAGATCTCTATTGGACTTGGAGCACATCAAGAGACTAATTTTTTAAGTAATGCGTGGGTATATGAGAGGGCCTCTCAGCACTGCCCCGTTCCCCCTGGGTGGGCACACTGATCATCACTTTGAACAGAAAGATAAATTGCCAATTGCCAATCACAAATTAGAAGGGTATATAATAAAAAATAATTGAGAAAACTAAATGTAAAAGACAAATGCAATTAAGCAAGTTCCTATATGTCAGTAATTAAAATGTACACAAATGTTTAAAGTATTGGACTAAAAAACAATTAAAAGTTCTTGTTTCCATACTGTAGCACACTGAATTGAATACACCAACTGGGATTTTATTGTGAATACAGTAAGAAAAATCTTTACATTTTTAGCTTAAAGCAGCCTGCCTATTCTCGTCTTGTATTACATGCATAAAAGCTTAAAACTGGGAAGTTCTCATAAACCCTTTAAACTAAAAATTTAAAGCTGTGTGTACAGTATCTTAATATACATACAAACCATGTAAGCACTTAAAAAGGTTTCATCATTTAAATCTAAGATTTAAGGTCTTGCATTAAAAAACTAATTTAAATAAATATACATATATATAAATTATTTTCAGAAAATGAAAGCATTCCCCCTCCCTTTTCCTCCAAAACAAGGGAATGTCTCCGATACTATGACTACATTTACTGTATGTGAAGCAGCTGTTACTTATGCTATAGGAAAGTGTATAAACATACTTGGATTCTGTTAAAGTTCACAATATTTGTTAAAGAATGGCGTAAACTGTAAATTAGTGGAATAGTGTTTTTCATTATATACTGTATATACAGAAGTATGGTGTTTGTGAGCCCTGCACAATCACCTCCGAAACAAAAACACTAATTGCAGAATAAAATACAAATAATTTCGTCTCTTATAGAGCGCAACAACCAAATTATAATAGCACTATTATATGTATTAAGTACACATTTAAGTACACATTAGACTTCGACAAGCAAATACACAGGGGACAGTAACCTGAAGCCATGCACACTTATAATACACTGTGTTCTTTGTCAAAAGATAAAGGAATCTTCAAGCAATTATCACATACTAAAAACAGTATGACAGATGTCTCTGCATTGTATAGTAAGACAAGCACTGTTCAATGTAAGGATAAAATAGTCATGCACGAGATGTGCATTCTGAATGCACTGGACCAATTTCTGAATAACACTATTAACTGATTAACACTATTTAACTTCAAGCAGTGTAGCTGGTCCTAAAAACATAATTTTCCCTTTGATTACAGTATCATGAAGCATGTTTATTCCAATTGTTTTGAGACTAATACGATGAATTAGTGGAAAATTGATTTGAATTTATTTTTCACTCATTTACTAAAGCTACTAACTTTTTTTTATTTAAGTCATTCCCGCATAAATCTGTGTTTTGTTTAAAATACACTATTCTCTGTGCAGATTTACCATGAAAACTGGATAATAATGATCAGAAAAATACTGCAAAAAACGTGCAAAGCCCAAACAAGAGTAATGGTCACTGCAATCGAAACCTGAGAACCATGATGAAAATCAAGTATACCTTGTAATTATGAGGACTCAGGTACTTGAAATGTCCAAAGCAGGTGTAACTTATACATATAAAGATAGTGATGCACAAAACTACAAGGGTGAAAAGGGAAGTATCAGCCGTAAAACCTGAAATGACAGAAAAAATAAAACAGGTGATTGTTGTACATAATTATTACTACATCTGTTGGCCACCTGACAATTACATTGTCATTTTTTAACACTGCAGATGATGTAGAAAACATAATATCCTAGCAATATATACCAAAACTAAAAGGTATATTGATCAGACAGTGCCCACCATTATAAGGTATATTCAAATCAGGGATTATATATCTTTATCATTGAACAAAGATTAAACTGGAAAGAGAAAACCTTCCTATATTTCCCAAGATCCAAACTTTAAAAAAATAATTATAAAAGGTTGATTTTAGAATCCCAAAAAGTAGGAATGGCTAAGAGAGGGCTGTTAATCAAGCTATGTCACGTCCAATTACAGGTGCTTCCGCTACAACAAAGTTGGTATAAAGTTTTTTTCCAGAAATTGAGTAATGTCAGAAACACAGAAGCCATGTGGGTGCATTTTAACAACAGTCGTAGCCAGAAGAATTGAAATTTCATAATTCATAGGAAACTAAGTCTTTAATGAGAACAGGCCATTCTGCCCATTTATCATGCTTTGTTGCTACCAATTAACTGATCCCACATTGATCCTCAGCTTTTTCTTGAACAACCCAAAGAACCTGCCTCACACCCCACCACTTTTGCACTTTTGACTCATATCCATATTTCATTGTTAAAGTTTTGGGGAAGTTGAACCCATCTCCTTTGATCACAATAAAAGACATTGATTGAAAATATTTTTTTTTTCTCAGCCTGGCAGTTTGATATTTATTTTCTTAATTCCAGAAACTAAGCTATTTGCTCTTCTTTGAACTCTTTAAAAACACTTTAAAAACAAAGGTCACAAACAAAAGAAGGCCAACTCATCAACTACCAAGAATTTAATGGCTTATTGCTGACATTTCATTAAGCCATTTCTAGAAAGATCCTGGGGTGTCAGTTTTAACAACATGATAGAGTAACTTCTCCCAAACCATTTGGGTAAACACGTTAAACATACATATTATATACAATATTACATATTTCTAGTCCAAAATAAACCCTGTAGCAAGGTAGCCTTTTCAGTGCTCATTGGTTTTATAAACTTATAAAAGTTTAGATAACACAACTCTTTGAAGCTTAACCAAACAGCTTCAAAGCATGTTGTTTTGCACAAAATTGCCAACAAAAAAAGGCAACACAGATCTGTCAGTTTCACGTGTGCCATCATATGATAAGCGTTATAGGATCTAAAAACAGCTTCCACAGTTGTATAATTTTCATTAAGTCCCATGCTTTTAAATAACTTAAAAGTGCAGTAAAAATGCTTTCCAGCAGTAAAATGACCAGAGCTGCCCACTTAAAGACATACAATCTTAGTGGGAATTCTTTTTTCAGTATATGGGGCCATGCTATCCAGCTCTTTTAGTTACATAGAACAATGTTTTAACCTTATCACCCAGGGGGATTTTTGACAATGGATTGACCTTTGAGCACGTGCAGAATATTGTAAAGACTTTTTTTTGCCATATTGCAAAACCCCTTCTTGCAGAAATCTCTAAAACTACACTTAAGTTACAATACATTGGGAATTTAGTAGACAGATATCTGACTAGGTCATGTGCAAATGTTTACATCACTGCTGTAATGGAGGCCTCAAACTGGCTTCCTGTAAGGTTTCTAGAAAACTTTAAGTCCTTCTGCTTAGGTTCAAGTTTCTACATGGTATTGTAGCTACAAGATACTAGACACAGTTATTGTTTACTATACACTGGATTTTTGTTCATTTATCCTGAAAGGGCTTTAAGACAGGCTTTTTATTGTTTATCGTCTGTTTGCTTTGTTCTCAAGTTTTTTTTTGTGCTATGACATGCTCTGAGATGATTGCTTTTAAAAGCACTATTTAAAATGAAATATGGAATTATAACAACGCTATTAAATGTCATTTGAGTAAATCATAAGGCATGGTCCAAAGAGTGAACATTTTGGAAATGCAAACGGGTTAAGACAGTGCATATGTTTAACTGTGATAATGGAACGGATTAGCACCACTATTAACCAATCTCTGCAAATATGTCACAAACCACTTCTTACAGAGTAGAAAAACAAATGATGCAACAACAAAATGCAGTTAAAGCATAGGCTTCGTTTCCAACTGTTGTTTAAGACACCATCACAAAATGTAATACCTGTCCTCAGGACAGAGAAGAAGTAAAGCCAGAAGAGGCAGATGATGGGAGCTGCCAGTGCCTGGTTCACTGCTCCGTAGTGTGTCTTCTTATCTAGGTTGGCTGGCAGATATGCAAAGTATAGGTTGTGTTTGTCTACCAAGTGCTTCAAAATCATGTACAGCAGACCTAGAAAAGGACAAAGTGTGAAAAGTAATAGATTAATATTTTCACTTGTTCCATTTGTTATGTGTACGTGAAGGTTGTGTGTTGAGAGAGAATGTGAACCTAGCAAAGGTTACAAATGAGAGAAGGCCTTTCAGCCCACCTAGTCTGTTGTAGCGAGTTAACGGACTTCTTTTAATTCTCAATAGTCAATGTGCTTGGGTGACTATGATGTTCCCCTTCCCCAAGCCAGCTCTCAAGCTCTTTCACAGGGGTCTCCTTCCAGGTGTTGACAACTTATCAGTAACACTATTCAGCTCAGACCACTTTATACTACAGCTTCTTTCCCTCAGATTAATGCTTATCACTATACATCACCGATCTTTGTAACATCTTTATAGCTAACTGTGTGTTCTCAAAGTTCCTCTCTACATAAAGAGATCTTTAACAGCTCTGGATAAAAGAAAATTTACACTCTGTCAAATAAAGTAGAAATCCAACACCCTACATTAATGACTGCCATCGTATTTGTTAACTCAAATACACCTCCTAATCTTTCATTCTACCTTTTTTATGCTTCTAAGAGAACCCACTTCAGCAAATATATTGGGTAACGATCTAAACCACCCCATGACATTATGAATAAAAGTGCCGTAATCCTGTTGGAGTTGTAAATTTACTTGCTCTTAATTTCCCATTGCGTGCCAGGCGTTTAATTTGAGCTTCTTTGACTTAAGGTTGACTTTGGGACTAAAGCTCTTTAAAATGGTAAACAATAATTCACTTTCATAAAGTTCTAGCACAACTCAACTTATTGTCAGTGTAACATCAATAAGAACACCAGTTTTCTTTAAATTAAAACGATCAATAATAATAATAAGACTGTGTGCCATATTTCAATACTCAATATTTATCCTTGTATCTTACTGATTTGGGTCCAAACAATTGTATGTTTGTGATGAGCAACTATTATAAAGCAAAAGAAAGTTTTATTCACTAAAAAAATTATATATGAATGTATAAAGCTTAAAGTCTCTGTTTGCAGTCAAATACCAGAATGTATGAATGTTGGACAGATTGAAACAAAGAGGATTATCACATTATTTTACAGAGGCTTCTAAATATTTTGCTAATCCTACAACAGTACATGGAAAGCAAGGATTAACATATACTAGAACAAGATAAGACACATAAACAGGAAAAAATAAGCCAAATTACATTTGATGCAAAGAAGTTATAGTTACACTCCTAAACACTTTGGTATACACTATCCAAAATCTGAACTAATATTTTAACAATTGACAACAATGTTAAACAACTAGCTCTAAAATAGTGATCTATTCATACACTATAATTTATAACCTTATATTTTTAGATTTGTGTCTTCAGAAAAATAAGTTACCTTCCAAAGCTTTGAACGTACAATACAGATAATGAACAACTATGTGACAGCTGAATTAACTTACCAAAAGGAACTATAACAGGACAGGTGATGCTATAAGCCATGATCACTGTGAAGACGCACAGCATCCAGCCATACATTGCTCCGTACTCAAATTCATAGGCTTGGTTCTGGTTAAACAAAGAGGAGATCACTTTTTTTAGTGTTAGAATACTGTTATTATTGCTGTTTCAACTGGTCAGTCTGAAAACCAATCCCTTTTAATCAGTTGAAATGAGTTTTGCTAATCCTTTTGTATCAAAACATGGGTGTCTACAGTTTTATAGACACAAATTTTTAAATCCCAACAATAAAAGAAATGAGAAAAAGGTTGTTGTTTTTTTCCTCGGGCAGACTTATGTTTTGTAATAATGGAATGTACTTTTCTACGCATTAAATGAAAATTTTAGTTTTTGCAAAACCTTTTCAAATGTATTGATAAATACAGCAGAAAACTACATAACTACAATAACTGACAGCAGCCTTTCCTCCGCAGAAGAGTCATAAATAGAATTTAAGTTGCTATGATTTTATGGATCTGCACCTGTGGCTGGAAGATTGCCAGTTCATATCCCGCGAACGGCAGAGGAATCTTACTCCATTGGGCCCCTGAGCAAGGCCCTTAACCTCAACTGCTCCGGGGGCACTATATAAATGGCTGACCCTGTGCTCTGACCCCAAGCTTCTCTCCTTGTCTGTGTGTCACATGGAGAGCAAGTTGGGATATGCGAAAAGACAAATTCCTAATACAAGAAATTGTATATGGCCAATAACGTGATCTGATCTGATCTTACAGTATTATGTTTTCCTTTACTGTCAATGTTGTAGTTGTGGATGTCTTGGTTAAGTGTTTTAGCACTCCTCTTTAGAGGTGGATTGCTGTTTTAGGGGATGGGGGAGAGGGGGAAGAAGGAGTTGTTTTACGGTCTGTAGTGTAACCAGACCTGGCAGTACTCGGGATTTCCCCAGAGCACACAACTGGCTCAGCACCACAAAGGTAGTGTACAAGTAGTCTGCAGGACTCCCTCAGCTCCCAGCAGAAAAAGTGACACTTGCAAGGTCCAGAGACCTTGATGGTTTATGCTGATGATGATGATGAGGGACATGCCTCTCCAACAGTCTGTGCTGATGCTCCCATGGGGAGCTGCAAACCAGAGATGTGTCAAGATTCAGCAGCTTGAAGGTGAGGAGGTCAGAGGAATCCTTTTACATTTCCTCATTCTCCCCCATATGCCAAGACATGATAAAAATCAGACACTCCAAATCGGTGGGTTTATAACAAAACATATTTAGTGGTTCTAAATATAAAAAGACCTTATGCTAATTGTAGGGTCTCCAGTGTTACGTCACTGAAGAAGACCATGGCAGACAGTATCATCCACAGAAAGAACCTAAGATAAAAATATTTGCCTTTTCAATAAATTCATTGCTATATCAATAACACCCTTTGGTAATTTGAGGTACATATTGTGTTCTGTGTATACTGTGGTGTTCCTTTCATTTTGTGTAACTGTTGATTTGTGTTATCTATTGATGATATTAGAAAGGTCTGGCAAATCAGGGTCCATTCACAAATATTATCTCATTTCTGAAATGTCCTTTAACTTTAAGAAACCTCTAATCTAACAGTATAAATGTAAATTATCAGTTGTTTATATGCTTCACATATACTGAATTCCCATATAAAGTATGCCTTTTTCTTACACATTACTTGGGTACCATCAAATTGGTTTACTAACTACAGCGGTGCAACTACAAGTGAGATAAGAACACGATAGAAATGTCCTAGAAAAGCCATCCTCTAAGCAGGCAGCTTCACCATAGTATCATGTTACTCCAAAAAAATTTAAACAGACGGAGGAATTGTACATTGATCTGGGAAATGTTCTTCAGTTTTAAGCCCAGTTCATCTGAATCAGAATGAATCTATACTCCTCCCAAAAAAGCTAAATTCAAGTAATCAAACAGTTTTAAGCCGTTTTAATGAAAATGTTGGTTTATGTCTTCTTAGGATTAGAAATTGACTTCCTTTCGGACAAACCATGGATCAGTGGACCTGCAGATAAAGAAGCACATTTTGGATTCCGTTTTAGTGGTCTATTTAATTATGAAAAGCTTTTGACTTTTTTTATTTTTGGGGAAAGAGGGTAATTTGTGTGTTTTTCAGTTTAGGTATTTTCTTGTGCAATTTAGATTTAGAATTTGCCACCCCCCCCTAGCGTCAAGTTGAAACCTGGTATTTGTACAAGTAAATATGATGTTTCTTCGTCGTTTCAAAAGTGACTTTGATCATTCTGTCCATGTGGTTTGCATTTGGCTCCAACCTCCTCTGAAACCACACTGGAAATGAACTGCAGATTTGCATACATCATACCAAGAAAAAGATCAGACGCTCTAATCTTTAGTGTTCCGAGTTAGAAAGCAACCTAAATGGATGCATTTTCTCCCACATATACAAAATGTAATTCCATCCATCCATTTTCTAACCACTTCAACCAATACAAGGTCGTGGAAGAGCCACAGCCTATCCTAGCAAGCAAGTGGGGCAGGCAGCATACACAGTGGGTGCAACACCATAAAATGCAATTGATTCCTGAAAAAAAAACCTGCAGGACACATGGAGAGACTCAAATCCATGTATTCTGCAGTACTCCTTCAGGAATCCTCTACTTATGCGATGATGAAAGAGAACCTGCCACATCCTCTCCCCTGTGGAACCGATAAGATATTTTTCAGATGTCTATTTTTTGGCCCAAAACTCCAAGTTGTTAGTAAGAACTGAGAGTCGGTCGGTTTGTTCCACACCTCTTTGACATACTTCCTCTCCGCAGCAGAGCGGGCCAGAGCCATACGTATTGTGTAGAGAAGCAGGCCGGGCAGGCGCAGCAACTCCATTCCACTGCCCACAAAGGCTGACGCAATGACGTAGTTGACAAAGAAAGCCCCCTGGTCAGGGAGGAAGACACACCTGTAAGAGCAGTTGCAGTTATTCCCTTAATAATGTGAAAAGGGGAAGAGGAACAGGAAAGATGTGGATGAAAAAGTGAAAATGCAACTTACTCAAACCTCAGTTTGCCTTGCGACAGAAATTTGGTATCAAACAGCCATCGAAAGAAGACATCTAAACTGAAAGAAGGCAAGAAAGAGAGGAAGGTACTTTTTTAGCAGGTGTCTGTTAATGCATGGTAAAATTCATATAAAACATACTGAAAGTTTTAATATAAAAGTATTAAATCAATTAGCCCTGCTTGCTTTAGGTATAACAAAGCAAGTGAATAGTATGGTTTACTACACGGGGTTTTGAGTTTAACAACATAATGCTTTGTTATTCTTTGGGTGAATGAGAAAGAACAATAAATTATTATTTAAACATTTTGAATAACTTCTTATACAGTACATAGCTATATATGACAGAATTTAACATTATTTACCATTACCATGTTAAGTGAAATTGTATAAAAAAAGTTTATACTTGCTTTTAGAGTGAGAAGTAGTAGTAAAAATGCAGAAGTCTTCTCAAAAGTTTTAAAAACTATCAAGAGTTATCACATTAAATGTTGCATTGTTTGATGAAAAATATTTTTGTTTTAAGAAACACCAAACAAAAATTAGTTACCTTGTAAGACCAAGGGAAGGTAGAATCAGAACCATAAAGATCAGAAAAATGTACAGCTTGTGCATCATGCATCTGTTTTCACTTGACCTAACCATAACAGAAAATTACAAAAATATGAAAATGATATGCATTAGTAAAGACATGTGAATCTGACATAACTGTATCACAAGCCCAAAAAACTTTCAACTAAATTATAGTATATCATACTTAAAAACTGATCAAATAATTGAACAAATGATGGGCAATAATACCTACTCTACATTTAGCCATTCCAGCAGAATAATTTATGTTTTTCTCCCTTTTCTAAATGGCATAATCAGGCACAGGTTAAAAGGGATATTAGAAAGGCCAAAGAAATATAAACAAACATTGCTAAAGGGTGTAAACAGAGGTGCTCAGTATTACTATAGCAACACTGCACCAAGTAACTATAAACCGATATGTTTCACGTCTATTAAATGCAATCCCAAAATCACATTGACCTCTCTTAATTGAAACAGTTTTAGGGCTGAGAGGTGAACCTATCCACTGGTTATCAAGTGCGCATGATGAATGAAAGACTGTGAGCTGTGCGCTGTAGCTCAGCTGGTTTTTGGTGTTTCCATTACCTTGTCCAGTGGGCTTCAAACAATGTGGAATAATATACAACTGTGGGCAAAAGAGCTGAGAATGACCACAGGAGGATGGTGGGGAAGAACTGACTTATGACAGCACTCTGAAAAACAAACAGAATGCACCTTATATTTTTCTACTGTTTTTTCCTGTAATTAAAGTTTTCCAGCATTGTCACAAAGTTTTTTTTAAACCCTGGTATTTTCCTGATAAAGTAATATATACAGTAGAATACCAACAAAATTATACATAAAGTATACATACTTTAAATTGTTTTTAAGATTGTCTTAAGAAGTAAGTGCTAAGTGGAATTATAAAGCAGATTTATTTTAAAGGAAGAAAGGTTTGGGTCTTCTCGTATCTATGGTTTGATTATTATTCTACTTTTACTTTTAATTAAATAAACATAGCAGTAATCAGACATTTACAAAAAAGGATTTTCCCCATTCTTACCATTAAACACAGCAACAGCTTGATTGCAAGTTAGGAGTTTACATGCTGTATTAATCAATCAGATCGATCACATAACCCACAGCAACAGCAAAGTAAAACCATTTAGTTTGTAACTTAAGTAAATTTTCCTAATTTTAGATCACCTATAGATGTGTCACAGTGGAAAAATGAAACATCTGGAATGAACCTTCTAAAACTTATGGCAATATAATTTAATAGAAGGCCATATAAGCATGGGAATATACAGTTGTATGCAAACGTTTGGGCACCCCTGACCAAATTACATGTTTTGTTGATTTTCTAAGTGAAAAGAAGTTAACACCTCTGCAGCAAACAAAGTTAAACCTGACATATTTCTGCAAATTTAACTATGCACAGTTACTATTTATATGCAGAATTTAACAAAAATTACAGAACAGAGTTACAGCCAGGGAGGAACTTTCTGGAAGAACTTGCTTCCTGAACATGAAAGCATTAACTTATTCCTATGAAAATCTCATGGCAAGAAAAGCTCATTTTAAGTGAATAGAAAAAGTAAAATTATTTCAAAGTTCTATGTGACTTCAAACTATGCTTAAGTTAATTATAAATTATTTTTCACTCATGTGAATGGCAATGCATTTTTGGTTACATATGTGTGTAAATTGGTAGAAACAAGAACAATAACTTACAATTAACTAAATTTAGTGTTCTTCATCTTCAATATTCATTTTACAGGGCAATACTTGCCCAATATTTGTATATTTGAGGAGAGGATAGGATTTGAGGATTTCAAATTGGCGTTAGGATTTTTAATTTTACATAGACTAAACACCTCAGACACGCACCGCCCAAATTTAAAATGACAGCCTTAAATTTGCATCACAATCCACTCCGGGACTGTAGGTGGAAGATCCTCCCCTTGCGGGGTTTTGCTAGTCCCTACGGGGAGGTGTGAAGTGTGTTTTTAAAGGGCCCTCACAGCTGCGGAACGTCTTTAATCAGCCAGAGCAACTGTGGTTGCTAAGGCAATGCGTTAACCTTCCAAGTCGTTATCCAAGGCTCTGCCTCCACACCGAACATGACCACCCGAATAATGATACATTAACTTTTCCTTAAACATTAGTTTTGAAAACAAAAGAAAAGCTATGGAGACATTCTAGTAGGTCGCTGCGTCAGCATGCATAGGCTGCAAAGGAACAAGAAAAAGGTTTATTCCATGCTGAAAAGAGAAGAAAAGAAAAAATGTTTTGGCTGTGGACACCCGAAAAAGGCTCCACAGCTGAAACTTTGTGTTTCTTTTCTTCTCTCTTCAGCATGGAATATCCCTTTACTTGTTCCTTTGCAGCTATGGGAATATTTGCTAACAAAAAACTTACATTCAAGTAGTAGATGGGCTTTGTGACATTGAATTTGTCTATGGTGCTGATGATAATTGAGGGAGTTGTGAGGAAGAACAGCAATAAAAAGAGGAACATGTTGACAAGGAGACATCTGGACCACCAGCGCACCCCTTGGACTGACAAATTTTCCCTGTCAAAACAAAAGACTATTTAGCAAATTGAAATACAAAGGAACTGCAGGTTCAGACATTCAGTCTGACAAGTGTCTGTGCTTGGCTGAGGAGCCTACGGTTCAAAACTACATTTTGTGGGATTATGACTGAATGCAAGAATCCCCCTAAACACTTAAAATGTACAGTATCTGTTTCTTGTTCCCTGTCCACTGGCATTTGAAAAACAATGCACTCTTCCCTCTTATAATTGTAGTGCAGCCTGTTATTTTCTCAGTAACTATACATTACATTTAAAGTATGTATCCTCTGTCGCATTAAAACTACAAAAAATGAGAACATATTATTAATTTATATTTATAAAACTACCATAATATGTTGATTGCATGATGCAAACCCTAGTGTAAAAACAAAAAAAATCTGTGAAATCTGGCATATCCATAAAATCCAACAAAAGGTTCTTGTTTATACATACTACTACTGCTGACAAGTTCAGGCTTCTTCACAGAGCTTATGACAAAAAAGCAGCTGTCTTACCAGTAAATGTTCTTTGGATCCGATGCATAGTTGACAGTCCAGCGCTGCACCTGAAGGAGGGGACTGCACGATGATGACTGAGGATCTGGCCGACATTTACACCCGCTGCACTTGATTGCATTGAAGTCTTTAAGGATACTGTGGGTAAATGCAAAATGATCACTCTATTCTCAGACCACTTCTAAATTAACACAATTAGCACTAAAGTAAACAATATGAACCTTGTATGCAGTAGGTGACATTTTTATTTTGTTCAAGTAGGTAGCTGCAACAGCATGCAAAGGAACAAGTAAAAGTTTATTCCATGCTGAACAAGACAAGAGACGCAAGGTTTCTTAGGATCTATTATTTTAATTAATTGGGGTGGTATGAAATTAAGCCCACAGTGTCATCCTGCTGTTGCTTGGCAAATACATCACCTAATAGTGGATCAAAACCACTCCAAGAGTTATCCTCACTCCATTAATATTATATATGTTTAAAGCTGCAGTTTTAAGTGAAAGTGAAAGTCTCAAAACACAGTTAACAAATATTAAATACAGAGTCCTAACTGGAGTATTACACACGATACAGTAATACACAAATCAAAACAAATGAGTGCTCATTGCATCAGGTTGTACAAACGTCTGTTTGTAGCCTCTTTTTCAACAACAAAGCAATTTAACTGTGCATGTATCTTACTTGACTTGGCATTTAGCAAAACACAACTATGATCATACTAATAAAACTGGTTCCATTCTACCAAAGTTCCTGTTATACTAGTGCAGCACCAGCAACCATCTCACGGGGAGACTCTTTAGAATAAAGAGTACTTTTTTGGCACAGATGAATCCTCTTTTTAACAGATTTTCCATACATTTACTGGGATTTTTTATTTTGGTTTTGCTGCAGTTGTGCATTGGTTTCAATACGCTTTCACTGTGCACCACAAAAAAATTAAATTAAAATTTGTAGGAAACTTCTAAAATCATACAGTAAAACTTACAAAAATCTGATTTTTTCCAAATTTAAATTTAACATATTAAACTTTCATAAGGGTACAGAAAAAACACATTTTCCAGAGCACACTCACAGGGTTGCCATTGCTTCATTCTTAAAGGTCACAAATGCCATCCCCAGAGGTTTGGAGTACACAATTTCCTGCTGCTTTGAATACTCTTCCTTCAGCCTGTTTTCAGTACTGCTATAATAATCAATGGCATCCACCTAATGGGAAAACGAAAAACAAACATCAATTTTATTGTGCATTTGGTCATTGTAGTTACTGTTATCTCTCAGTAAGACAGAAATTAGTAACTATCCTCAGCCATTGTGGTATTAACTTAAAACACATTAGAACTCCTGGAATAAACTGTTTTGAAGCTGAATAAAAGTTCAATTTAAGTTTGGTTTTCCCCAAGACAAAATAACCTAATCTGGAAAAATATATCTGGGAAAATGAGCTATGTAGGTTGAAAGAGGTACATGGTATTATAACATCATGGGTTGGGGAAAAAAAAAAAGGAAAGGGAACTGTTATTAGGAAATAAAAGTAGCAAGATGCATGGTATCTTTCCATGTCATGGTCCTGCTGGGTTTTTACTCTGTGAAACTCGAGTGACTTACCTCCTCACAACAACTGGTGTGGCAGCAGCAGAGATGCCCACAGGGCCGTGGGTTAATCAAGGCATGCTCACCGTGGCGCTCCAGAAGTTTTCTATAATACATCAGGTTCTTCTCAGCACGTTTCCTTCGAGCAGAAAATAAAATAATCAGCTACTTTGTGTCAAAGTAAAAGTAATCTTTTCCTAGGAAGCTGAAATTGGCAAAAGCTGATTGGTATCAATTGGTATCATTGAAGGTGGAGTAGTGGTGAGCATTGCTGCCTTACAACACCAGCAGCCTGGGTTCAATTTCTGACCTGGGGTGTTGTCTGTGTGAGGTTCGTATGTTCCCCCCGGACTTGCGTGGGTGTCCTCCAGGTGCTCCAATTTCCTCCCACAGTCCAAAAACAACATACTAGTAGGTTAATTGAATTCTGGGAAAATTGCCCCTAGGTGCGAGTGTGTGCATATCATTCATTTGGGCCTGTGTTTGCTCTGCAACAGACTGTGTCAATTCTAGGATGTACCATGCCTTGCACACAATACTTGCCGGAATAGGCTCCAGCTCCTTCCTGAACTGGAAGAAGGAGTCAGAAAATGGATGGATGGTAGGCAACATATGTTGTTAAAATATAGGCAACTAAGTTGCAAGAATAGGTTAATGTTCTATTTTCAGCAATTCAGTTGACTAGTTTTCTACATGCCAGTGTGTGATGCTTTTTAATCACCTGATCTCACTAAGATAGATTCAAATGGATGCATGAGGAACCTCTTTGATTGATTTTGACCAATATCTAAATCCTAAAGTTAATTACAATGAGATAGCTTGTAATTTATTTTTTAAATAAATTAATAAATGGTTTTAGAGTGGAAAAGTCATTTACAGGTAGGTGTCCAAAAAACATTAGTATCAACCTGTTACCACAGATGAGTAAAAAATGAGAACATGTACTTCACTCATGCATATCAAAAGTTCAAAAAGTTTAGCACCTATATTCTCAAGTTAGTTATTTGCATTATTTTGTATCATTATTATGTTAGCTCCGCATAATTAGGGACAAAAAGTACTGCATTTCAGAAATTTAAAAACAACAACTTGCATAATGCAGGCTTATGAGTTGAAAACAGAAGAGGAATATGGAAAATGCTCTTCTACACAAAGGAGGATTTAGTGTCAACAATCAAATCCTTAAGAGCAAATGTAACTTGCATTGCACAACTTAAAATATCATTCATACAATCTTTACCATATCGGCAACCTCACCTTTCTTTGTCCAAGAAGATTAGTTTTGCAACATCATAGCACAAACTGATTTCTGAGACACGACACCCTGGGTATGCGTCACTATGGCAACATCATAGAAAAGGACAAGTTAGTAGATGTGAGAAATTCAGTCACTAAAAATACACAATATTTGTAGTCAAAACAGCTAAAACATCTATTGCTTAATCCTAGAAACAAAAATAACCTCCAACAAAATAAAGAATTCCCAGTTTGGGATTTTAACCAAAGAACGTGTTAAGAAAAAAAAAGATAAAGAAGGCTTTCAGCACATTAAATGTCATTAGTAACTGACCAAAGTCATTTAAAAAAAACAAGAGGTTATCAACTTATATAATATGGATGGGTAGCATGTTCCAGTCTGCTATGACCCTTGGTATAAAAAAGTCTCATTTTCAGTCTTAAATGCACTACTCTGTAGTTTCCACTTTCACTGTGCTTTAACTGATTATGAAAAGCTGCTTTAAGGAATCTGAATGCTTGAAACAGGCATCCTTGTAGTACTTTATTGAAGACATCCCTTTAATTCTGGGAATCTTGCTGCCCTTCTTTGAACTGATTCCACAACATCTATATCTTTAATCTAACACATTGTCCAACTGTGAACAACATTCTAAATGAGGCCTTCTAATACATTAGTATTATACAATCATAACAACAACGTCTCTTGACTTAAATTCTATACTGGTTTAATTATATAGAGGTTTATTGCATTTTCCTTTCTTATTGCTTTCCCACGTTTCCTAGCAAATAAAAATGGTGCACCAATTTTTTTCACAGGCAGCTTCTTTAAATGTAGCATTTCCTATCTTATATTTTCTGATTATATCTGCAACTTGCATGTAACACTCTGAACTTGTCTTTACTACATGTCATTGACTATGTGTTTGCTTTGGCTTGAATTGTGCAAGTATTTTAGTCTTTATAATTCCGTATCACAGATTCTACAGTCTTTGTTAAAACTCCTATTCTTGTGCAAACCTCCCAAGTTTACTAATTATACAAGAATCTACAGTGCTGCTTGAAAGTATGTGAACCCTTCATCTTTCATGTCTTAGACAACTAATCTTAAAGAATATTTTATCTGAACTCCAATATTTAATAAAGATAACCTGAATAACAGATATATATTCAAAAATATATATTGGTTTATGATTTAATGCATAAAACATGTTCATTTAACAGATTCTCAATAATCACTGTGAGCTAAAGTAAATAAACCTAATGAGCAAACATTTCATATAGTTACTAATCAGTCTCTCACACCTGCTTTGAGGAATTTTTGTATATTCTTCCTTCAACTAGTCCAGATTGTTGGCAATCTTGCATGAACAGCTCACTTCAGGTTCTGACACAACATTTCCATGAAGGTGAGATTTGGCCTTTGACTCAGCTATTCTAAAACACAAAACTTCTACCTCTTAATCCATGCTTTGGTAGATCTGCTGGAATGTTTAGGTTCATGTCAGGAGATTGTCAATTTCAGCCCAACTTCAATTTACAGAGGGCCTGATGTTTTCATCCAAAATATTTTCCTTCAAAGATGGTGAGTCATCCAAGTCCATGAGCAGAAAAGCAAAGCCCCAAACGATGGCCAACACCAAGCTTAACTGGGGATAAGGTTATTTTGGTGGTAGTCAGTGTTAGGCTTTTTGCCAAATGTGGTGTTTTTAGCTGTTGCCAAAAAAATCAATTTTAAACTCATCCATCCAGAGAACATTCTTTTAAACATCTACAAAACAGCCATCCAGATAGTCTTTTCCAAGCTAATAACAAGCAGCAATGTTTTTTAGAGCAAAGGTTTTCTTCTGGCTGCCCTACCTTGAACGGCATTGCTATTCAACTTGTGTCATTTTGTTGAGGTATGGACATCTGCTGCAGCAAGAGAGGCCTGGAGATACGTGGCTGTGGTCCTGGGGTTCTTTTGGACATCCTGTATGTCACTCTGTAGGATAATTTTAAAGGACGTCCACATCTAGGTAGATCACCATGATCTTAACTTTTCTCCATTCGTAACCTATTTGACTTACAGTTGAATTTCAAAGCATTTTGCTATCAGCCCCCCCCCCCAGGCTGATGAGTTCTTATATCATTCTTCCGGAGGACATCTGAGGTCTCTTTAGATTGTGAAATGGTGTATTACACTAACCTGTATGGGTAAGACCAAACTGACTAGGTTTCCTACCTTTATATATTTGGTACCCAATTATTTTAGTACCTAGTTGTACTTAATGTACATTATTACTTATATAATACTTAATGACCACAGAGAATCAGGACCTCATTTTTTTGTCTCATCCGAAGGGCAGCGCCTTTTTACAGTATAGTGTCCCTGTCACTATACTTGGACATTAGACTGCAGAGTGAGCTCCCCCTACTGGCCCCACTAGCACCTGCTCAGCTTCAGTGGATTGCCAGTTGTGAATTGCAGGGTGATATGGCTGCTGGCTTATCACTTATCTTAGTCTACATACCTCCTAGACTAAGATAATGAACCTTGTGGTTTACTTACTTTTGCACATGTAGTAATTTTTATTTACCCAATTATTTTTCTATTGCATGCATCAATTCCTCTAAACAATTTTTGGATTGTCTCTTTTTTTAGAAATGTAGGGACTAGATTTAATTGAACAAGGATTAATAGTGAAAATGTAACATTTAAAGAACTTTCAAGCAGCACTATAGTTTACTAACTTTACAACAAACTAGGTATTGGATATAAAGGAAGAATGTTCTCAGTTTTTTATTCATCAACCATCAAAAAAGTATGCTTTACCTTGAAAGCTTACAGAGATTTCATGACAGCACAATGTAGCAAATTTTATACACAGACACAAACTATTTAACTGAGATGTATTTAAAATGTGATTTTATCAAATTAATTTAGAGATTCTTTTGAAAAAAATAATATACTTAAGCCCTCGCAGAATTTAAGTTCTTTGACAAATTACTGCATTAAAGTAATATCTCCCAAGTGTTTCTAATTGTTAAACGTTTATTTAGGTTGCATCATGAAACTAACGGATTGGGATAAACCTTAAGATCACTGTGAATTTCTTTCTTATTGAACACCTAAAGTTAAATATTTTTACTTTAATACAATTTCCACTTCATATTCTGGTCTTTGGTCTATTTTCTGGCTACCATCTCCGAGATAATTTCACTTTATCCTTTATTGTCTGTCTACTAGTGAAAAAAAACAGCATTAGAATGTTGTTTTCATTCTTTCTCATGGTTATTCTAACATTCTCTTCAACTAATAATAAATAATAAACATTATTTCATATAATTAGAAAGTATTTAAAACTGGTAGTAACAGTTATAGATATCCCAGTAACATGTTTCAGATACTGGTATACATTTTCAATTTTATTCTTTTCTTTAATTGAAAGTTGTTTTTAATTCATTTCATAAAGTGCTTGCATTCGTATATAATGGATTGTTTAAAAACCATGTGGGTCACTGCTTTCTTGAGCTTGATTTACCTGGACTAAGAAACAGTTCTGTACTTCCAGCAGATTAGTCTTAAAATGTCAACTACTCTCTGATTCCACACACATCGGTTCTGTTCTGATTCTCTTAAAATAATTGCTTCATTTAATTGCTTCATTGTCTGTTCTCATAAAATTATAAACCTTTATTGTGGACTTCATCTGTACAGTTTCAAAATATACAGCATGATCCCAGACCCCTAATGGTTCTGGGATCCCAATGGCTACCTCTGTTTTCATTACTCTTTATCATTACAGATTCTCTAACTGAATAAGAAAGCAATCAAGCACTTACTTAAAATGTGTTCTAAGAGCATCTTCACTTGCATCTCTTGGCATGGAACATATAAACAAAGTAGGTTTCACCTAGTGAGGAAGACATAAAAAATGAAGAAAAGTTGCAAACATTCATTCACAAATGAATAAATATTCTATTACACTATAAGTAACAGCTGTAAGGCAAATAATTTTGAATGGCTATATCCCATCTTGTCCTGTTTTTGTCCTGTTTTTTTTTAAACTACTCACATCTTTTAATCCTTTAATACAAATTATGTTTGGATGACTGATTTGTGAGATATTTCCAGACTGGTTTAAGTATAATGAGACAGACACTATCCATCTTTTAATTTTCTGAACTGCATTATCCAGTACAGGGGTGTAGGGAAATCCAAAAGCCCAGCCCTGCACACAACAGGCGCAAGGCAGGATACACCCTGGATGGGATTCCAGTCCCTCGCAGGGCACACAAAGACAGAAACGCACACACACCAGGGCCAGGTTTTTCCAGAAGCCAATTAACCCACTGGTATGTTTGGAACGTGGGAAGAAACCCATGCAAACACAAGGAGAGCATATAAACACCAAGTAGCTTAATAAATTATTAAATTAGCTTCATAAACGGTCAGTAATCACTTCTCTGAAAATATATTCAGTAGCTCTTTATCAAGTGGTTATTAGTCTAAATCTGTTTTAAGGGAACTAAAACAGTAAAAAGTAAGAGGTTGCTCTACAAGCCCAATACAATACATATGTAAGGTTCATGCAATATTACTGAATTAAATGATCATAACAATACACAGTATTTTCCAGCATCAATTGATGTAGAAGAATAAGCATTGTTATGCCATTGCAAATGAAATACAATTAGGTTATAAGTGAATAACATTTTATATATAAAAGTTTGTCTACTAAATTATTATAAAACATACAGTATATTATACTGTACATATATGATATAATTTAGGTACTTCTTAGACATGCCCAAGTTTAACAAACCCTCTAGTTACTCACAGCACTTACATTTGAGCTCACGAGACATTCCAGTCTGGTCAATGTGCAAAACAATCACGAGCAAAACTGTTCCTTCTTAGAACTCTGGACTGCTTGAAGCTGTCCCATACCAGTTTTTAATTCATTTTAACTATAAACTTGGTTACGTTTGTCTCTATAACTTCTAGTGAAACTTGTTAACAGGCCACAACAGAAGAATTATGTTTTTAAAGTAGTTATTTTGTAATTTCCTGTGCCTGTTTTTACAAAGATTTTAATCATAGGAGATTTTAACAAAAAATGTCTCATCTTAGTTTTGCTGATAAAGAACAGTATTATGTGCTTTCATGAACGGTTTTGACTTCACTTAGCGTGAGAATATTCCCCAAAATCAAAGAATGAATTAGTCCTAGTTATCACCTTTGGTAAGCCAGTTCAACCTTCTCTTAAAAGTCAATCAACTTACTACGTGATTTTATCTAAAACTCAGAAGATCACAATTCATACTTCATTTCATGTTTACACTTTCAAGAACAATTGATGTATTTTCAAAATTAATCCATCTCACTTTTCAGAGTCTTTCTTCCGCTCCTATCTGAAAAACACTTCACTTAAACCCGTCAGGTGTTCCTTGGATCTCACTCCCTCTGTCTTGCTGTTTGGAATGAAGTTGGCAATTCTCTGTTCTCTATCACACTGGCACACAGATCATCAATGAATCATAAGGTCTGGAGTGGATCCCATAGGCCTGAAATGTGCAGTTATTATCCCCCTAGTAGAAACTCTATCTGCATAGCAATCATTGAGTGATAAGAAAATTAACTTGTTATTGTTGGGTATGATTAATCATAATTATGACTGGTTTCATTTCTATGCTGCTGATATCCAAATTTTTGTTCACAAGAAACCTGATGTTAATCAAGCGCTGTCTCATATGCAACAGTGATGTATGCAACAGTGTTTTATACATCTGAACTCTGACAAGATCAAAGCTATGCTCATTCTTGCTATACTCTATGCTTATCAACTCCACAATTCTGCTATCAACTGTCAACTTTAGTTTCCTAGTATTAAACAGTCAAACGAGGAATCATGGGGGTCATATTTGACTCAAACCTTTACTTTCTTCACTTTAAACAAAAAGGATATATAAACAAGAAAGTTTCTAAATCATAACTGAATAACAATATGAAGTACATTCACTTTCAATACATTTAATTTGCAAAAAAAGGCAGTCATAATCAATGTACTCTGTCCTACCACTAATTGTATTACCCTCCTCTAGAGGCAGGTCTCCAATGGAATATCACTAATGAAAACAATAAATTTAGTTGCATGATGTATAATGTATTCTCCATTACAATGGAGAATACTGAAATACTCATCCTCTGTTACGTAATGTATTGTAGAGGCTCGGTCAAAACACCCATGAAAACCTAATTTCTTCAGTTCTTGCTCAACATATCTGTATACAGTAAACACTGAAAAGGCCCAAAGCTAAGCTGTCCTTCAAGAGCCTAGATTAAATGAGATCTTAAACCAACGCCTAACCCAAAATACTATTTTGTGTTTGACAAGAGATTATTGCTTCTACACAGCAGTCAATATTGGGTAAGACATAATTGTCATTACATGAAATCAAAGGTGTAACTCGCATTCAATTGTACAATAGGTTCTTTTTCTTTTTTGTTTGCGATTCCCACAAATCAGGTCATAATGATAACACACCACATGCATCCCTAGGATTTACACAATCCAGCACATTTATGAATACTCACAGTATCCTTGTCCAAATATTTCATCTGAGATGTGTGATGTCTCATTACAATTACTGTAAGCACAAGGTATAGGACGGCAAACACAGTGTGAAGCCACAGAAGATGGCTCCTGAAAAAAAAAGCAACTTTAAAATATGTCTTCCTTAGTAGATAGCAGTTACATTTAATGAAACAGAAAGATAAGTAATGGACACAGATACAACATTTACTCCACAATTGTAATGTCAGTTCAAAGTCTTAATGTTGAAATACACATCCATTACTGTGAGGCTGATAAAATGAGGTTGATGGAATTCCTGCCCTAAAAATAAAATGGCTTAAAATTAGATGACAGGACTGTGAGAATTCTGACAGCCAGCTGAAAGATCATTACCTGCTATTTTAAGCTCAGAAGCATCCGTCACAAATTTCCGTGCCATCTACCATTTTTTGAAAGCTTGTTTTGAATCAAACGGTATTCCTTCACACATACAAAGAAAATTGGAAACTAACATACTGCAGCAATGAAGGGCTAGATATACAGGGGAACTCTGTTATTGGTTTCATTTATTAGGGAGCCATTTCAGTATTTGTCTATCTTGTTTTGCTTACTTATTGATAGAGTTCCATTTCTTTGCACTTTTGTTTTGCAGCTTACTTCATGTGGCATAGTAAGAATCACCACATGAACAGCATTCCTTATTGTTTTGTATTGACTACTACTATGTTATTCTTAGGCAAATTTAGTACATTATTTTTTTAAAAAAAATTCTTCTTCAAAATGTTGTATTGTTATTAAGTCAAAGCAGTTAGAAAAAAAGCATCATTAAGTTACAGCCTCAGCTTAGTTTCATGTGTTTTGTGCTTTGTTAAGTGTGCATATCATCTAAACTCTTTTGCTTGATATCATAAAATATTTCTGTGATATCTACACTTCATGAGTGGCAAACGTGCTTTAAATGAAAAGAGTGATAAGTTGAGGGGAAAGCAAAAATACTGGTGGACGTGCTGTGTACATTTCATAAAAGTCCATTACAAAACCATCCTTTCCATTTGTTGCTTTGCCTTTCGTCAAGGTTCTTGGGAACATAACTAAGAAGAATATCATTTTTTATAGAAGAATAATTAAACAGAAAATAGAAGAATTGTACTTAGAAACTTGCCCAGTATTTTGTACATCTGGATAGGCAAAAGCTTTGTCTTGTTGCAAATCTCTGTGGCTATAAGAGGGCATTCCAAAAATTCAGGATAATTTCTAAACAAAATCAGGCATCACAGATTGAATTGGGTGGCTTCTCTATATAGTCCATCTGCTTTGTAACAAATCCCTCAAGATATTTATTTGCCATATACAATTTCTTGCATTAGGTATTTGTCTTTTCGCATACCCCAGCTTGCTCTCCATGAGACACACAGGCACACAGATGGGGAAAGAGAAGCTTGGGGTCAGACCGCAGGGTCAGCCATTTATATGGCACCCCTGGAGCAGCTGGGGGTTAAGGACCTTGCTCAGGGACCCAACGGAGTAGGATTACTCTGACTTCAAGGGTATTGGTTAATAAGGACTATGATTTGTCAGTGATTCTTGCTTTCAGATCCAAGAAAAACATTCTACCTGAACTATATTAAGAAACTTTTGAAGTGTTGGAATAAAGTTCAAGTAGAGAAGTGATGTTTTTGTAGAAACAATAACAAATGGGCATCTAAACTTCAAACAATAATTATATAATTATATTCATAATACTAACTGATAGTTGGAGTGAAGCAAAATTATTTAACTTTTTTATTTTAGAAAACTTACTCCTTCTGTATGTTTACTATAGTTGTTCTTCCAAAACTGTAGGGGTCGGTACCTGCAACAGAATTAAATAACACATAACCAAGACTACTGACAGGTCAAATCCACAACAATTTCATACTGTATACGGAACCACATTTGAGCCTAAACCACACATAAATTATCCTTACTCATTCTCATTATAAGTGCCAAAGACTTGTCCTTAGTTTGATTCAAGCAGTAGATAAGTGTAAATAAGGGTCATACATTTTTCATATAATATTAAAAAAAAGAATCGGGATAAAATCTGACCAAATATTAACTCAATACATTAACAAATATTGCTGGAAAAAGGTTCTCCTGTATTTTTCCAAAATACTTTAATTACTTGTTTCTAGGTAAAACATGTGTGTTGAGTGTTACCTATCAGATTTCCTGAGAGGTTGACAGGCAGAATAATGGCCACAGAAGAAACACTGAAAACTGCCAAGAGCCCAATGAGACGGCGCTGGAAGGAGAGGTAGTAGATGGCATCCTTGCCACATTTTTCCTGGATCTTTTCTTCACTGCAAGAAAAAAAGCATTTTACTTCTACATCTACATCTACAAGCTCTTATCCGCCAATTTGTACTGGTCTATTTGAAAAACATATTAATACCATAATTACTGTTAGCAGTAGTTGTAATACAGTATCAATACAGTATCAACTGGCATTAACATGTATTTTGTCCTGTCTTTCATCTGACTGTAGTCAGATATTAGATAAGAGAAGATCACTTTATTAGCCATATACTGTACAATTTCTTGCATTAGGAATTTGTCTTTTCACATACCCCAACTTGCTCTCCATGAGACACAGACACACAGACAGGGAGAGAAACTTGGGGTTAGAGCGCAGGGTCAGCCATTGTACAGCACCCCTGGAGCAGTTGGGGTTAATGGCCTTGCTCAGGGGCCCAACAGAGTAGGATTCCTAGGATTTGAAATGGCAACCTTCCAGCCACAGGTGCAGATCCTTAGCAGCAGTGCCACTGCTCCGCCCCATAATATATATGATATTATGCTCATATAAATGCTCAATAAAAAAGAGAAATGTAATATGTGAGTCTAGAAAATGTTTACAAAACATAGGCTAATGAGTTTTGTTTAAATCCTTACATGAAAAGTTACTTACTCCATTCGTATAGCAAAAGTAAACCATGAGCAGAATCCCTGAGAAGAAACATGAGATGT